CTTCCATTTGTGAATTTTCTCAAGGTGATGGGGAAATGTTTCATGAGACATGGGAAAGGTTTAATGACTTGCTTAGGAAGTGCCCACATCATGACATACCTAAGTGGCAACTAGTTCAATATTTCTTTGAAAGTTTACCGGATAATCACAAGAGTATGGTTGATACATATATGGGTGGTTCTTATCTTGACAAGCATGAAAATAATGTGTGGCAATTGTATGAAAGCATGGGTGAGAATTCAATACATAGATCTTTGTCTTCAAAAAATGGTAGAAATCTAGGTGGAAGGAAGAATGTTGGCTTATATCAAGTTAACAATTCCAATGACATAGCCGCCAAAATGAAATCCTTATCTCAAAGGTTTGATTTATTATTGATCATCCAAAATTTGGCGAATCAAGTATCTTCCTCCCCTAATCATGTTCATCATCATGCATCTAATGAATCAAGTATGACTTGTTCAAGTGTCTTGCATTCTACTTTCAATTGTCCCTATGGACATGTGCAAAACGAGAACCATGAACAAGCAAATGCTGTCTTTGCTAACCAAGGGAATAATCCCTATGGCTCACACTATAATCCAGGGTGGAGGAACCATCCAAACTTCTCTTGGAAAAGCCAAGGGGAAGGCTCAAACCCTCCCCAAGGTGGTTTTCAAAACAAGTATGTTCCACCTCCAATGCAAAGCCAAGGTTCCCAGGGTTTTAGATCTTTTTTTCAATCATCAAATGGAAATCAATTTTCAAATTCTCATTTTCCTAACCAATCATCGTATTCTTAAGGAAACTTAAGGAGTCCAGCTTTTGAGGAGAAAGTGTTGACCACTCTAGGCACTCTAGAGGTGAACACTCAATTGCTTCATTCTCATTCTCAATCCATTGCTAAGCTAGAAACCCAAGTTGGGTAAAAAGCTGGTACTTTGAATGCTAGAGAGAAAGGGAGGATGCCTTTGAATGCCCCACCAAAGCAATAATGTGTTGTGGAGACTCATTCCTCATCAGAAGGTCACACAATTGAGCATGTCAATGCGGTGACAACCTTGAGAAGTGGGAAAATTGTTGATAACCAAGTAGGTATTCCCAATGAAGTGAGTGAATTGGTGTAACCAAGAGTTGACACCTGATAATTTCACATTTTATTCCTCCTTCATTACATGTACATGATCATCTTGTTAAGAAAGTTATCAAAAATGATTTGAAGCATGATTTGAAAAATGATTCTAAGAATTCTTGTGTTGAAGATTCTTCAAAGAAAGATTTTGAAAAAACTTTTGAGCCTAAAGCTCCATTTCCAGATGCCTTGAAAGGATCTATTTCTCTTGACAAACAAAAGACAAAAACCAATGAAATCATTGAAATGTTTAGGCAAATGAAGATCAATCTTCCGCTTTTGGATGCAATTAAGTAAATTCCGGCTTTACTAAGTTCTTAAAAGATCTTTGCACCCAAAAGAGGAAGAACAAGAGCCAAGCACCAACAAAAGTGGTCTTGACCGAGCAAGTGAGCTCTATTTTGCAACATAACACTCTCCCAAAATTTAAGGACCCCGGTTCACCTACTACATCTTGCATCATTGGTGACCATGTCATAATCGGGCTCTCTTAGATTTAAGAGCAAGTGTTAACCTTTTTCCATATTCAGTGTATGTAAAATTAGGCTTAGGAGACTTGAAACCGACGTTGGTGGTTTTACAACTTGCCGATCGATCCATCAAAAAGTCCCGGGGTATTATAGAGGATGTTTTGATTAAGATTGATAAGTTCTTCTTCCTCGTTGATTTTGTTGTCATAGACACGGAACCGGTTCCGAATCCCAAGAGCCAAATTCCCGTTATCCTTGGTCGTCCCTTCTTGGCAACCGCAAATGCTAACATCAATTGTAGGACGAGGATAGTGAAAATCTCATTTGGCCACATGAAGGTGAAGTTAAACATCTTTAATCCAACCCCGAATTCAATGGACAAACACGAAGAAGTGTGTGTTGTAGAAAAATGTATAGCCAATGAATTTGATAAAGTCGAGTCTTTGCTTGAACATAAAACTTCAAAAGATCAATTTTTAAAATTGAAAACAAAGAATGTTGTTTCAAAAGCAAAGTTCTTAAAGGCATGGAAGCCCAAGAGTTGCATAGACCAAGGACCATCAATGTCTTTTGAATCAAATCCAACAAGTTCTCTAGAGAACCATTTGTTGGGTGGGATTCAAAAATCCATTCACCCCATCAATGAGGGGATGCATAACAAGATATTTGATCCGGGCTAAAAGAGCCCAACATCTTGCTAGAGATGTTAAAGACTAGCAATGCTTCATAGGGTTTACAACCCTATTCCTCCCTCATTTCTATTTTACCTTTCATTTCTTGCGTCGTCTAGATATATTCTGGGTTCATACACATTGTTAGGAACTGTGATTGAGAATGCATGCCTTGTCATGTTCAAACCAAGCATTTTGTGCATGTTCGATCGATCTCAAAAGAAGTTTGATCGATCGAACATTCATCTCTGCATCCAATCATCTTTCAGTCCCATCGATCGAGAATTTCCTGCATAAATCAACTCTCTGTGTATCGAGCGAACTTCAGTTTAGATCAATCTGAATGCTCCAAGATCGATATTGTCCTCAGATTGATCTTCATTCTACACTTAGAAATTTTTTGGAACCCATGAAAAAGGCCTCTCTGTGTATCGATCGAACTTGTCTGTAGGTTTTCACTTGTTGGATCGATTGAAGTCTTTTCCAGATTGATCTGTGTCCCCTTGTTGACTTTGACTTTGACTTTAATTTCCCTTTTTGAATTTTGAATTTATTTATAATAAAACAAAAACAAAAACAAAAACATTTTCAATTTTCATTTTATTTTATCCTCAAAAATACAAAAATATTTTTATTTTATTTTATTTTTATATTTTCAAAAACTCCAAAAAGATTTTTATTTGATTTTCATTTTTATTTTTATTTGATTTTATTTTTCTAAAAAAATCCAAAAACATTTTATTTTTATTTTTGTTTTTATCTTAAAAAATTCAAAAATATTTTTAAAAAAATTTCAAAAATACTGTATCGTTTTAAAGCTTAGATCGATCTATGTTCGATCGATCTGAGATTTTTCCAGATCAATCAAACATGTCGAAAACAGTTTTTAAAAATAGAAGCCAAGGGTCATTTTGATCGATTTACACATCGATCTCAACCCTAGCTCCCTTTCGTCGCTGCTTACCTTCTTCCCAACCTCCAGCGAACCTCCGACGAGCTTCCAAAGCCTTGAATCCCTCTTCCTCATCTCAGATCTCATCTCTCTCTTTCTCGATCCACTTCTCTCCCTAATTTGGCAAGTTTGAGTTTTATTTTAGATCCTGAGCTTCATCTTGATATTTTCCATGTTTCCATGCTAGATATGAGATTCTATGTTAGATTTGTTGCCTTTTTTGATGATTTTGAGTATGTATATATATGTATATATATTTGATTCTGATTTAGATTTTGGGGGTCATGTGCCTGTTCAAGTGACCATTCTTATGTTGTTGAGGTGTAGAGGGACCCACAAGCTTGCTCGAGTACCTCCCGTGTCGTCCACGTCACATATCTGTGACTTTTCGAATTTCTCGCTGTAACAACCCTGGATTTTTCAACCCAGCGTGTCCTTTGATGAACCGAGAATTGACCCGATAAAGGATCCAGATGCGGAAGCAAGAAACAAGACAACGGTCTCCAAAGGCACAACACACCTCTAAGACCCTAAGATGACTTTCCATGAGGTCATGGAACTCAATAAGAACTGGCGCGGAAGCAAAAGATTGGAAAAATAACAATTAAGCCCCCGGGGCAAAATAGTTATTTCTAAAAATATGGATTTAGGTGCCACCAAGCACACCGCTGGAAAGATAATGAAAAACTAATCAAGATGGACTCAAGAATCGCATGATTCGGAGTCTGGACAAAAGAGAAATGGCAAGACAAAGAAAGAAGAACACTTAAGGCTAAGAGGGTAAAATGGTAATTCGAACTGAAATGGGTACCCCTGTGTACACCATTGGATAGACAACAAAAAATTAACCAAGATAGACTCAAGTATCATTTAATTCAGAGTCTGGATGGTAAAGATATCAAGTCCTGAAGTTGAAAGAAGGGAAACCCTATCCTGGTTCGAACCAAAAACTGACACTACTTCACTAAAACTTGAATATCTCAAGATAAAAGTGGGATCTGACGCTGAAATTGGTACCATTGGAAAGCTTTTTTCGACGCGATCAATTTAGACTCAAGAACGGACCAATTTGGAGTTAAAACAAAGAAGATATGATAATTTGAAGTTGGAGGTGCAGTGCTGAACCAAGACACAAACACACACACACATGAACAGTACTATGAGCGCTCATGAAAGGCTGCGAGCGCTCGCGCGGTGCATGCCCCAGGGCAAAAACCCACTGCCCCATTTATGAGCGCTCGTGCAACATGGACAAGCGCTCGTTCTGCTAAAGCCTTAGCAGATTTCTGAGTTTGAAATGTGATTTTGAGGACTTTCTGGGCCTTTTTGAAAAAAACACAAAGAATAAACCACCCTCCCCCCCCCCCCCCCCCCCCCAAAATCATGTTTTCTACCCGACCGTATGGATGGAAACAAAAAAAAACACTGTAAAATGTCTAGAATGCCCCTAGACCAGATTACGCTCAAAAACAGTGAAAAGACAACTTTGCACCAAGCATGCATTTGACCCCAAATGCACCTCTAAGCTGAAAAAAGTATGCACACACACATAATAAGTGATTTTAAGCGCGCGGGAATGGCCCATGGCTCCTGGAAATGACCGATACAAAATCCGACCCCCCGACGGCTAAAAAGGCGAAAATGAACTTGAAATGGAAATTTTAAAATCTAAAATTAGCAAATGATTGGAAATTACCGTTTGGCCCTTGGCCACACTTCATACATGACTAATGAGACCCTATGGAAGAATGAAAATGAAATTCCTACACCCGATGCACCCATGGTGAAACAATAACTTACGATTTTTCAATATTTTCATAATATTTTATGAAGTCAAAAATTACATAGAATACAATATACATGTCATTGGCCTCCGGCCTCATCTCATACATGTAAAATACAATACAAAAGGTGTACTTAAGTACACATTACATAAATAGAATCAATTATACACATTTTGACATAAAAGGGCTATAAGTGGCATTTCAAGCCAACCTTTATAAGAATTAAAACCTTCTAGTCTACAATCATCCAAGCAATGATGAATATCATGAACCAAGTCTTCGTGCCTGAATAAAACCCCCAGTAACTTCGAGGTGAGTAAACAAGTTTACTCGTCGAGAATGAGCATGCATAGACTCGATATTCTTATAGATTTTTAGACTAGCATGAAACGATTCAAAAGGGTCATGCCACCTAACGTCTATGTCAAAGATTAGACTCAGGGATCATCCTAAGCTACTCATGTAATTGAAATAAGATACATGACATATATGCATACCAGTTACAAGTGTACTAACGAAGATTAAAACATGCGGGGTAAGTATACAAAACACAGTTATACTAACAAGATTGGAAACACACAAGGTAAGTATACAAGACACGAGTGTACTGGATGGAATTCAATATATACAAGAAGCAAGTGCACGATTTCAAGTGTGCTAGATGAAATATAAACACACGAAGCAAGCATAATACCTATGCAATTAAATAAGGTGAGAAGTACTCCATATAACACGACAAGGTTCTTAGATATTTAAGAGCTAACATTTGAGATCTAATAGTTTAGAGATTTTGCATGTTGATATAAATCATTACATATGGTCCATACCACCTAGAATCTAAGTCAAGTTACATGTATAAGGTCATTCCTAAGTCACGATAGCATAAAGTAACACGAAACGAGTTAACTATGAAAAATTGACAAGATTGAAACAATTCAATTAACACGACAAGGACAAGGAGTGAAATCAAGGATAATGCATAATACCCATGCAATTAAACAAGAATGGGACATTCCACACAACACGACAAGTTTAATGCACGAAATCAAGAACAAGGCATAATATCTATGCAAATAGACGAGAATGGAACATTTCACATACATGAAAAGTTTAAATCTTCAAAGAATAACAACTTGAAATTTAAAGAGTGAAATCAACTAATGTGCGAACTCGGATATCGCCCGGATCAAACCGTACTCTTGAGATCACTTTAGGGCTTCTAACCCATGGGTACCATTCCCCTAGTGCACACCATAGAACACAGTTCTTTTGGGATCACTTTAGGGCTATTAACCCAAAGGTACCCTCCCCAAATGCGCACGATAATGTAAGGAGCTCTCTATCTCCCGTACTAGAACCAAATCCTAGCCATGTCACTTCTTGTTCGATATCCCAAGTTCCAAAATCAACAAGTTGTGTAAGTCAAGATAATATCAAGATGCAAGAAATGCATTAACTACGTTTCATACACAACCAAGATTTTGGAAACACACAAGTCATGCCCTAGATTCTTAACTATGATGGTATGCGAAATGTCAAGAAATCATGGTATGCATCAACCTAGACTACAACCAAAATATATATAGTACATAGAATCCATTGACGTAAATACACAAGTATAAGATTAAGATTCAATTATTTGTTTAACAACTCTTGAACAATTAAATCATTCCAATGTAAGGGTGCAAGTTCATTAACTACATTAATGGAGCTAAGTTGGACCAAGTCATGATACATGATAAAAAGACAAAAGCCCTATGAAATAGTTGTCTAATTCATTAGGACACTAAGTAGAAATTAATTAACCTAATTAATTAATTTCTCTAGAAATCAAGGTTGTCCAAAAATCCTCAAAAAAATATATGTGAAAGTCCATTCCATGGTGATTGCAATTATCACATCAATTTCACAAAATGAGCAAGATATAAACATGTATAATTTAATTAATTTAAATTTAATTAAATCTCTAGATTTCAAAGGTTATTCAAATGATCTCAAATAAATATATGTCATGGCCACACCATATATCAAGTAAAAATTGAAAAACAAGCAAGGTACAATTAACTAGAATTTAAATCAAATTAAATTCATTTAATCTCTAGATTTAAAAACTCATTCAAATGGTTCCAAATAAATATATATCAAAGATCAAGTGAAGTCCATGCCATATTTCAAGTCAAAGTGAGTTATATGCAAGTTACAATTGATCATTAATTTCTCAAATTAATATAAAACATGCTTACAACTTGTATTTCATACCAAAGCAATTAAAACACTTAGAAAAATAAATTATAACACCCCCTACCTCACAAGAGGATTGTTCCTCTTGAATCCAAGGCTAGAAAGCACAAAATTGTAAACCCTTCTAGGGTTATGAAGAGGAGAGTGAGAGGAACAAAAAGTGTTCCAAGGTTCATGGTCTAAGGTGAGTGAAAAGGCCTCAAAAATCAAGGTCAAAGCTTAAGCATCAAGCTTCTCTAATAGTGGCTAGGGTTTTCTTTACAAGAGAGGGAGGAGATGAATGAAATAAAAACATAAACCCTAAACTAAATGTGGTGGGATTCTCCATTCACTAGGTGCCCTTACACTACCTCTCACACACACACTTGCAAGACTAAAGATGAGTCATACATTTATCACAAATCCATGGCTCATCCCTAGGCTTAATTTCAAGCCTACACTTGTCAACCATCCAAGCCAACAAGTGCACCAATCCTAAGCCAACAAATGGGTGAATCTCCACCCTCCAAGTGTCATCATCCAAGGCATCAAAGTGTTTCCACACAAATGTCAACAAGTGGACCAATGAGAGTGCGACACTTGTCACACTTTTCAAAAATTACAAAACGGTCCTTTTTGAAAATATCTTTTAAATTAAATTACAAAATGGTCCCCAAGATGAAAAATAATTACTTTAAGTAATTACACAAGAACCCCTCAAGTTTAGGATAATTACCAAAAAGTCATGCTTTCATGCCCTTTACAAGAAAAGTAAACATTTAACACGGTTTTCTACAAAAGTGAAAATGTAGATATCATGGAAATCAAATATCATGGATGCATGAAAAATCGGAATCAAATCCGAACATGAAAAGTGAGGTTGTGCCAATAAAGTGACAACCGAGAAAAAGATGAAAAGTAAAAAGTGTCGAAAAAACGAAAATGTGAAAATGACTCGGTCCTCAAAGGAAGTTATCAATCCAAACAAAAGAACCTCGAAAACAATTTCTAAGCACTCGAGATGACACCCAATGACGAGAAACAGAACTCGAAAAAGAAATTTAAACGGAAAAAATTTATTCGTAAAATTTGAGAAAAAGGAAAGGGAAGAAAATGACCGGGTCATTACACTCGCAACAGTTCGATCGATCGAAGTTTTCTCTGATCGATCAGAGAAAGATCGATTGAACTTATTCCTGGTCGATCTGAGAAGATCGATCTCACTCAAGTCATGATTGATCGAACTTCACAGATTTGCATATGCACACTTCACACACCATCTTTTGCGTTCCATGCTACCTTATTTATGCCCAATGCCTGTGTTTTCCACATTGGATGCATTCCATACTTACACTATTTAGCATGCTTCACTTAGTCACTGTTTACCTGGCTGCATTATCACTTGCATAGATTCATGTCGATTACTCTGAGTTATCTATCTTATTTGCCATACATGTTTTTATATACTGTGCTTCAATTCTCTATTATCTGTTACTGACTTCTATTGCAAGTGTTTCTTTTCTGTTTTGCAGGCCATGGCATGGGTTAAGACAGTTGCCCGTAGACAGTAAGAGAGGAGAGTACGACAGAGAGTAGAGGATCCAACAGAGCCTTCTTATACTCCGGATCCAACTCTAGAGCAGGCTAAGCAGCCTGAGCAGTTGCAGGAGTATAAGGAGCCAGCCCCGGTTCAGTCTGACGGCTCTACCTCTACCACCTCTGCATCTTCATCCCATTCTGATGAGGATGAACATATATCTTCTCCTTCTCCACCACTGGCACAGCCCGGCCAGATCTGAGATAGACCTATCTGGAAGTTCAGACGCCTTTCGGTGTCCCATGAGTCCGTATTTGGCATAACTTTCTTCTCCCGGTCAGTCTTGACTCGGGTAACTTTTAATGATATTGAGCGGCGCGGCATTTTAGCCATTCTGGCGCCAGTTACTTATCCTGTTTATCCGTGGCTTGTTTGGTTATTCTTCCAGAACCTCTGGTCGGTCCCGAGTAACCTATCAGAGGTGCAGACTACTATTGATGGCCACCCTATCAGCATCATAGTAGACACTTTGGCCAATTTTTGTCGATGCCCGCATGTCTGCCATCCTGATATTCACTATCCCATTCTGAGGAGGCCTTCTGATGCAGACATGGTCGTTGCCTTGACTGGCCATTACGCAGATGGCGAGACTTTCGCCACCAGGACTTATCTGCCCAATGACTTATGGTTTTTCAATTCGGTATTATACTAAAATGTATTTATGGCGGGCCATAAGATCAAGAAACGTTCAGACTTTCTGGCAGCTCTTTATGCATTCTATACCGACGGCTGCAACATATATGGATATAGAACTAGAGCAGCAGCCTCCAGAGGAGTTACAACATCACTCTTCAGTTGGGTCACCAGTTCATTTCCAGGAGCAGGGTCAGGATGTACCACAGTTTCATGATCCAGTCATGCCTGAGGCTCCAGTTCCGACACCCGGCCTAGGAGAGCGTGTCCAGTCATTGGAGGATGCAGTAGTCTCTCTCATAGAGACATTTTTACTCTCTATGCAGATGTCTTAGCTGCGCTGCGTGACACATCCAGAGATATCCGGGGATCACGCCCCGCTCGCCCTACCTTCTCTGCCTGATCTTTTTATCTCTCTTTTATCTATTATATATATCTGTGATATCTGACTATTCTTTTTATACTGATATGATATTTTTGCGGCCAGTCTATCGGCCCAGACACTATGATATACCATATACTGTTTATTATCTTTCTTTCTACACATGTTATCTTTTGGATGTCATATCTTTACATTGATATATCTGTCTGTGATTGACTTGATTATTAGGTGCATTCCAATGACTTTAGTAAGAGAGAATGCTGCCCAAAATTTTCTTTCATGACCACTCTTATTCCTCTCTCTCTTTACTTCATTTCCTATCCCATTTACACTTACATGTCCACTGTGCACAGTTATTATCCCTTTATTATCTGATGAGTTTTATCCAAGTGCCATATTTTCAATACCGTAGTCAATTTCAAGTTTGGAGGGTTGTACCACCCACTTTGGATA